CAGGAGCTCTGTTGACATAGGCTTTGCTAACGTTAGTTACAGCTTGATGAATTGAGTTGAACACAGCAGGAGAGAACGCAACATTAGCCAGCTAGCTAAAGCTCTGGTGGGAAATTATTAGCTAACGCTACGGAGGCCATAATATTTTTGACTCATGGCTGAAGTTAAGTTTCTCCAACTCTCCCCAGGTTGGCAAAAAAAATGCATCTCAAAATGCATCAGATTGATGCTATAAAATATGGAATATTTAAAAAATTTCTTCCGGGGGGGCATGCCCCCGGACCCCTAGAGGGGTAATAACCTTCTCACCTTTTTCACCCCTGACCCCTTTTCATGCCTGTAGAGGTAAGAAACCTGATAGATTTATTATTATTTTTGGGCAAACGTGAATTGACGCTGTCAATTAATTTATGTACATTTTTAATTGACACATTTGAATATAGGGGGCCTTTTGAGGTATAGTGCCCAGGGGCACCACAATGTCTTAATACGGCCCTGCAGGTAAGCAACTATATATTGTAGAGATACAGTTATATTGCACTTTGTTTTTACTTCAGTAACGCTTTTATTAAGTCTGGTGACCAAGTGTAACGCTAGGTTCCCAAATGAAAACGATGATAATGCAGATTCAAATAACAAGGATTTATTCCAAACGTGATACGTCAACGTACGAGACAGTGTGCGCTTGACACAAACAATAACCGACAAGGGATAGAACAGAACAGGGAGTATAAATACACAAGCAGACTAAACAAGGAACAGCTGACAAGACTTGACTGATTGGAAACCATAGAGACTAACGAGAACAGGTGCAGACAATACAGAACATAATTGTGACACCAAGTCTATGGCAGTGAAATGAAATAGGCTACAGTATGTGTTGCACACAAATATTTAACCATTACTTGCAAATACTGTGGTTTCGTTCAAATTTACTTTTAGTACGATTGTTTTAAACGTGTAAAACTAACCCACGAAATCATTTGACAAATAGTCACATATCAGTAACAGGCTAATATAGCATTACATTTCACATTCCTTGCAGCTAATTCATCACGATGACATAAAATAGTGTGATCAAACGAATAGGTAATACAAAAACGAATTTATTACCTCATTCGTGAACATGATTCGTAAATTATACCAAATATACCATATATCTCTGGAGGGTGAAAACAACATCTCCCACCGTTCCACTCTCCTTTATAGTGTCATCAAGCTTCGCCTTTGTTATTGTTTTGAAAATGCGAACTCTGGCGGCGAAAAATTATTGTAGCTTTAAGTTAAACTTATTTTATTTCAGTTAGTTACATTGGCAACATTTAGAATTTTCTAAAAGTTTTTTGTATCTAATATGTATAATTCAGCTTTATTTCAATTAGCAAAAATTATTTTTAATAGTTTTAGTTAACAGTAACAACACTGGATTGAAATGTTCACAATTGGTGAAAGCAATTCAGACTAACTTGCTAAAGTAAACCACCGACATTTCATTTTCACCGTCATCCAAGATAAATGGAAAAGGTTTGCAGAGAAAATTAAATGTGAAGTAATACAAATATGGGCAGTATGGGTTCATGAAAACAAATACAACCACACAAATACTGCCCTAAGTCAAAGATGTATATCCTCATGTCTTTGATGTTCTGGTGATGACTGGGTGGGGCATGTTGCTATGCGGTTGCTAGGGTGTTCTGTGTGGGTGCTTGGGCATTGCTCGATGCTAGGGATGGGACGATTACCGGTTTCACGATAAACCACGATAAAATGTCCTGGCGGTTAGTATTATCGTTTAAAATGTAATTATCATAAAAACCGTGTTTGATTATCGTGATTTTGAAAACTCGCGGTAAATCCTGTCCAGCCAGAATCAGTCTGACGCAGGCGCGCAGATGCAATGTTGTTTTTTTTGCGCGAGAAGACATGGCGGAAGGCAGTGACAGCGCACGGGAGATTTTTCAGCCATCCAAGAGGACAAAATCGGGGGTATGGTCGTATTTTGGCTATTACAAGAGTCCCGAGGGCAATTTAATCGAGGATGGGCACCCTGTCTGCAAATCTTGCAAGAAGTCGCTGCAAAAGGGGGAAACACGTCAAATCTGCTAAGTCATCTAACGTTACGTGACAACCACCCACTGAGTTAATTTTTACCTTAATACCACAACTAACTTGGGCAAATAATTAGACAAATTTATTGGAGATCAATTATTTCATTATCTCACTTGTAATTATTGCAAAGCTTCCGCGAAGAGAAAAGTTTTACAGCAAGTGGATTTGAGCCAAGACGAACGAACATATTCAAACTATTAAGGGTGACATTTAAGGGATAATGTATTGTATTCATTCATTGTAAACTTATTACAGTTTTATTTTTTATTTTTTTACCACAGAAATAATTTCAGGGACATGAAATATTGAATTGTGGTTAACTTAATGTTTTTAAATCTTACCGGTTTATAAATTCATTATACAAGTTACAGTGTCTAAATCAGGGGCGTAGCGGACGGGGGGGACACGTCCCCCCCACTTTTAGAAACAGGTGATTCTGTCCCCCGCATTTTTTTTTACTCCGCGCCAATATTTCCGCCCGTGTTCTCTGATTTGTTACTTAGACTTGAGTGAGCTAACATTCAGCCAATCACAGCGCGAAGCATCTATTGGGCGCGTCTGCCATGAGCTTCAAATCTGTGTTGTTGCTCTTGCGAATTTTCGTGTTTGTTTAGTCGCTTTGCTGTTTGGCCGTCTAATGCACCCCAGAAAAAAAAGCAGAGGACTACATCATTTTTTTTCAAACACACACTGTTACAGTATGTCGCGATGACATGAATCACAGGTAAAGTTTCCTTATTATGATTTAACCTACTGTAACGCTGTAAGAAGTGTAAGACAACAGAACCCATATGGACCTCGTCACGTCGCGCCGGATTGTGTCGAGTGTGTGTTAAATGCTCTCCTACTTGTTGCTTTGGATAAAAGCGTCTGTTAAATGAGCCATAACAGATTATTCCCAGCAGGCACACAACGTCATAAGACGTTGATATTTGGTTAAATTTTGGTTGCGACGTCGGGTGACCAAAATTCAATGTAAATTCAACATCTAATGTCAATGTTAAATTGATGTCCAATACCGAATACATTGATTTAGGTTTTATTGATATATTTTTATAAAATGTCTGTTGTATAAAATTACTGTAGGCTATGATGTAATCTGTTATGTACTCATTGCACACGTTTTTTGGCCCAACTGTTAGTAAGATAAAAGTTATTGTTCAAGTGTAGTTTAACTGAAATATTGTAAATATCATAAAACATCTTTATTTCATAAAAATAAAGTATAGATGTCCACAGTTGTCTGAAAGTCCCAAGTCCTGCAATATTTTTTTGTTTCGAGTATGATTTCACAAAAATAGGTTGCTGTAAACTATCATGGCATGTTCCCAAAATTGGCACTAGGGTGCTGTAAAATGCCAATTGCTATTCCATCTAGAATTTATTAGAACATCACCTTTCAGTCCCTCCAGAAAAACGCGATTATGCAATCGCATGATTCAATAATCAGCCAAAGTCCGCATATTTATGCGGGGGCATTTTTTCAAATACGCCGCACTTTTGCCGTATAAATTGCCGATTTCCACGCAAAATATGCGGGGCTTGTATGATTTCATAATCCCCGCATTTTTGTTGCAAAAAAAGTCACATATATCTAAGCAGAAAGTTGAAAAATGTTGCGTTTGCTTCACACGAGAGCAGCCGTTTCCCCCTGTTGCCATGGGAACGTTATGAAGTGACGTAATTACGCGACATGAACATCATTGAAAAAACAAAACTGTAAAACAGGGGGAAAAAAAATCATATTTTATTTATTCATTTTTACAGAAGTTGTAGCATATTCCTTTTGTAAAGCTACAGAACTTGTTTGACTCAACAATGTTTTGTAAGTTTGAGCCATGTGTTTATTAAGGTCTGAAATAAAACAAGATTAAATATTCCAGCACTTTCTGTGATGTAGTATGTTTGCTTATCATAGGAAGTAATAAGAAATAGCTCTTTACATTAAGGTAGTAGCCTAGTGAGAACAGGGTGTTGGGGAATCACTTTTTCTCTCTTTTTCATCAAACCGCAGTTTTTGCAAGTTCCCGCAATTTCATCACATAAAATTGCAAATATCCTGCATATTCCATCGCCGCATAATCACGGATTTTTGCCCGCAACAATCACAAAAAAACTCCGCATTTTTCTGGAAGAACTGACCTTTGGGTCACATCACCACACCATTTTGTCCCCCCCACTTTTATAATGGCTGCTACGCCCCTGGTCTAAATCAATCGTAAAGTAAATGTGATCACTACAACAATATTGTAGTAGTATTAATACTAAATTACTCTGATTTAATTTTCAATACAATCAAAACTGAGATGCAAGACATAGGCCTACACATTTGAATGAAACCAGAGATTGCGTCCATGGTGATCCGAGACATGGATGTGCGCTGTGTAGTGCGTTGCTACAACAGTCATTATAAGTATTCCAGTAGTTTAGTCACCCTGACCCAACCAACATATTTTGTTCATTTAAGTGTGTGTGCGTGCGTGCGTGCGCGCGCGTGTGTGTGTGTGTGTGAGAGAGAGAGAGAGAGAGAAAGTGATTTATTTATTAATAGCCTAATAATATTATTCAGTCATACACACATCCATAAGTGTTATTATCATTATTAATGATAGGGTTTAATGACGAGTTCATTAAAACCTGCACTAGGAAAACTTATACCTCTCACTCTCAGGGCTCCATGTTAATGTTAATATAATGTTTATGCTTAAAAAAGTGCATATAGCTGCTAATTGTATTTTTTGTTTGTTGATTTTCAAATGTTTTCAGGGTGAGCATCAGTTCTTTTTGAACATTTCCATCTCATTTTAACAAAACCGTGATAATATTGATAATCGTGATAACTTTGGTCACTATAATCGTGATATGAAATTTTCGTCCCATCCCTAGCTGCTAGTGTGATCTTGGTGGTTGCTTTCTAGCCCGAGTCAAAAGAGCCCACCCCAAGTCTCTATGAAATTCTGGTCTCTAGATGTGGCTCAAGTATTTCCTACAATGTAAGTCTGTGGGACTTTTCACTCATTAGGCGATTTGTTCAAATAATGTTTATAAACACAACTAAGTTACAGCTGTCACTGATTATACAAACTCTTGCACCACCAGTTCTTTAAGGGACACCAGTGACGCCTGCCCGTGTGGGGCGTCTCGAACTCTGGTCAGCTCGTCCTGTAACTGGGCCACGGGCAACTCGAGACTGTAGCCCAAATCAACGAGAGCCTCCAGCAGGGGCCCTTGATACTGCCGGAGCTCATAGCGTCTCACTGTGGGAAGAGCTCTTCTGCCAGTCTGAAATGCTGCGTCAAAGTCTTCTAGATCCCTTTGGCACACCAATATGGCGCACAAGGTTGGTATCACCAAAGTAGGGTTGTGAGAAGACAGTTTCTCCTGAAGTATTAACGCCGTCTGGAGGCCCTCGAGCGCTCGGGAGAAGCGGCCCCCGCGCAGGAGGTTATATGCAGCTTTCAGTTCCTGATGAGTGAAGAACGCCTGGAACGCTTGGGATTTCCGGACAAACCGGAGGGAGTAGAGCTGAGTGAGATAGTCTCTGAGGGCCACGCGCCGCTCGGCGATGTTCTCCTCGGAGAAGTTGCCCCTCATTTTCTTCCTGGGCATCACGATGTCCTCCATTTCCTCACTGAAGTCCAGCAGGAGCTCCTGATGGAGGTGGAGGAAGTCCGAGTAGCGCCTCTCGATAGCTACACGCTCGCAGTCGTAGCTGCCCGAGCGGATCACCACAATCTGGTACACCTGAGGGACAGAAATCAGCCGTGAACGTAGACCTAAGAGCATTGCTGGTTGTAAAGACATGTACAGCTAAAAAAATGTTGGATCCTTATGCCTGATACACATTGTACGATTTTGGGCTGTCCCAGATGAAAGATGACCAATCGTGGGGATTTCTGTGGCTGTGGCTCCTAAACGCTGGCTCTATGTCGTACAGTGAGAGAGGTTCAAAGACGCCTGTTGTTGACCAAAGATAGCCTGCGATCATTTTCTGACAGTGTCATAAATTTAGCATGATCTCACAGTGTGTTTGCTGCTACTAGCCAATCAAAATACAACATGAAATGGCGTATTGATCAACGTGACACGGCGCTAAAACTTAACACTACTTTCCTCAAGCTCTATTTGCAAAATTGGCTTGCCAAGTTAGTCTCTTTTCCCTAGGCATGACCGCATTCATATTCTCTTTTTTCAGCGCACATAAAAACCACATTTGCCAAAGTGCGATTCATCTTGCTCTATTTGTTTACCACTAGCACATGCTTATGACATGTTATTCTATAGGCTAACTTGAGTCGTAGCCTACGATTCAATTGATGTCATCATCGTACAGTCTACATATATGTCGCACCCAAGTTCAAGACAGCCTTGACTTGAGGCCGAGTCTCAATACTACAACACTATGGATAAGTTTAGTTGTCTGTTCTGACTTGCTCATCTGATCTGCTCTGTGTTACCGTGTCTCTAGAGCAGAGCTGGATATTTATCATGTGACACTGAAGAGTAACCAGGCTTCATTCACCCCAAAACACATTGATTTACATTGTCTGAACCAGTCAGACCCTCTTCTAGTCTCAAATAAGCTGGTCTCGACTACAACACTGCCCTTTATGTTCCCTTTAGGTTTCCAAAAATAATAATCAAATAGGAAGCTTGTTTCCACCATGATGGATTAATAAAAAATAAGGTAATTGCGACTTTTTATCCCACAATTCAGACTTTTTTTCTCGCAGTTGCCAGTTTATATCACTCAATTCTGACTTTATAACTCGAAATTGAGAGTTTATGTCTCACAGTTCTGACTTTTCCTCACATTCGCAAGCTTAGGCTATATCTCACAAATCTGACTGGTTTCTAAGAATTGTGAGACTCGGCAATGGCGGGAAAAAAGGCAAGATTGCGAGACGTTTTTTTTTTTTTTTATATTCTGTGGCGGAAACGCTTTCATATTGACCATCCTTCTTCCAAAACAAATGAATTTGGATGTAAAATGCAGCACTTTCTTAGATTATAAAGTGAAACATGGAAAAGGGGAGCGGTTAAAAATGTCACGTCAGACAAAAAGTAAAGTCGTTAGCAGCAGAGCAAGCATATTACAAATAAAAAAATATTAAATAATGGTATTATGAAGTCAGATTTACAAAAATAGAAACTAAAGTTCGCTTTAATTTGTATAGTTATTATAAGCGTAGATATACCACGTATTTGGAGATGGTGTGCTCTGTGATGCGGGCGCTGGGGATGTCGAACAGCAGTTTGACGCTCCTGAACTCCTGCTTCACGGCTCTCCAGTGTTGCTGCAGTTCTGCTGTGGTCAGACAGGAGGCGCTAAAGCCAACGTCAGCCTCTTCTGCTGTCAGGACACATGAAATCAACACAGTTCTAATGCCACAACACACACAATCAGATGCTGCGCTCATAATCTCAGTTACTGAACACAGATCGACTCAAACTGACCATTATTGAAGAATGTCTCCTGCTGTGGTGAGGATTGCTCTGACGAAACTGTTTCTTTAGCAGTCTCTGTCTTGCTGTCGTGTGGTTCTAGTTCGTCCTCCATTCCAATTTAGCTTTCTGCAAAGGAATTTAACAGGTTATTACCACAAGTCACAGAGAGTCATCATTTCAGATTACATAAGCATGGAAGATCTGACCTCTACAATGTTTTTGGATGATGAAAAATGTTAATTTATGAATCATTGGCCTCAAAGGCACTGAATATATATATATATATATATATATATATATATATATATATATATATATATATATTTATATATACATATATATATATATATATATATATATATATATATATATAAACATGTTATCTTAACTTTATGTTATATATAGCCTATATATATACATACAGTATATACACACATATATATGTATATAACATAAGTTATGATAACATATGATTTTAAAATGCTTTAACTAATAAAAATAAGTTAAGGAATTTCCAGCTTTTTACATAAGATTCAACAATTACTCAGTCACTTTAATGTAGTTTAAGTTGAAATTACTTAATCATCGATGTTGATTGTACTTAAAATTTAAGGCAGTACCTTTTTTACTGTATATATACACTCGCCTAAAGGATTATTAGGAACACCTGTTCAATTTCTCATTAATGCAATTATCTAATCAACCAATCACATGGCAGTTGCTTCAATGCATTTAGGGGTGTGGTCCTGGTCAAGACAATCTCCTGAACTCCAAACTGAATGTCAGAATGGGAAAGAAAGGTGATTTAAGCAATTTTGAGCGTGGCATGGTTGTTGGTGCCAGACGGGCCGGTCTGAGTATTTCACAATCTGCTCAGTTACTGGGATTTTCACGCACAACCATTTCCAGGGTTTACAAAGAATGGTGTGAAAAGGGAAAAACATCCAGTATGCGGCAGTCCTGTGGGAGAAAATGCCTTGTTGATGCTAGAGGTCAGAGGAGAATGGGTCGACTGATTCAAGCTGATAGAAGAGCAACTTTGACTGAAATAACCACTCGTTACAACCGAGGTATGCAGCAAAGCATTTGTGAAGCCACAACACGCACAACCTTGAGGCGGATAGGCTACAACAGCAGAAGACCCCACCGGGTACCACTCATCTCCACTACAAATAGGAAAAAGAGGCTACAATTTGCAAGAGCTCACCAAAATTGGACAGTTGAAGACTGGAAAAATGTTGCCGGGTCTGATGAGTCTCGATTTCTGTTGAGACATTCAGATGGTAGAGTCAGAATTTGGCGTAAACAGAATGAGAACATGGAACCATCATGCCTTGTTACCACTGTGCAGGCTGGTGGTGGTGGTGTAATGGTGTGGGGGATGTTTTCTTGGCACACTTTAGGCCCCTTAGTGCCAATTGGGCATCGTTTAAATGCCACGGCCTACCTGAGCATTGTTTCTGACCATGTCCATCCCTTTATGGCCACCATGTACCCATCCTCTGATGGCTACTTCCAGCAGGATAATGCACCATGTCACAAAGCTCGAATCATTTCAAATTGGTTTCTTGAACATGACAATGAGTTCACTGTACTAAAATGGCCCCCACAGTCACCAGATCTCAACCCAATAGAGCATCTTTGGGATGTGGTGGAACGGGAGTTTCGTGCCCTGGATGTGCATCCCACAAATCTCCATCAACTGCAAGATGCTATCCTATTAATATGGGCCAACATTTCTAAAGAATGCTTTCAGCACCTTGTTGAATCAATGCCACGAAGAATTAAGGCAGTTCTGAAGGCGAAAGGGGGTCAAACACAGTATTAGTATGGTGTTCCTAATAATCCTTTAGGTGAGTGTATATTACAGAATCGCACTTTAACTCATCTGATACTGTCTTCAAATTTACTTTGATATGCAAAACATTTTTAGCATTATAAATACTTTTAATTTTACTGTATGACCCTCTCGATCACTGTCAGTTGTGGCTCTGGATGAACCTTTAATGATTAATGACTAAACTTATCCACAACTCTCCAGGTCCGGGGCTGGCACAACTTACCCCATTGACATCTTAGCATCCAATCTCTTCTTGTAAGGCAAAAATAAAAAGAATGATTGTGGAACTGAGTATTTCCTGTAGAAAGTTTGTTACTCCTCTTTCTGATTTTACCATTGCAGACTAGCTACAGATGTTACACTAGCAGACAAAACTGAATAAAAGGGAAAAAAATTCATGATGCTTTTCACGTACACATGCACGGAAGCTTCTATTGTGGTTCTTTCTAGTGGAAGAAAAACTGTAATGACATTTTTTTAGTAAGTTATTGGATCCCAAAATGACCCAACATCAGATGCATGCAGTGGAAGGTAAAGGCACACTTCCCCAGGAAATACAGCTGTAAATAAACCTCTGCAGGAAACGTGGCGAGAAGACTCTGATGATGTTCAGGTAACAGAAGATGTAACGATTGAACATCTGACATTGCTCTGGTCATGTGGTTTATCATATACAGCACAAAACACAGACAACGAAGAGAAATATTGACCCACCTGTGCAAACAGAGTTCCAGTTATCGGCAAATGCTAAACGTGCTTTGTTGTGTTTCCAGAAGTGATCATTTTCATGTTTTCTCTTTCTGTTGTTCATGAAAAAGAATGAAGCTGAACTTTGTTCATGAGGAAGTGAAACCGAAGAGGGAGTGTCATTATTCCTCACATTGTATGTTGAACACATTATCATTTTTCATGCAATTAATCTACACTCAGTCATGCAGAAGTCTAGTGAAACAATGGCATATCAGTACATGTTTCTGGTAACTTTTAAATAAGGAACCTAATGTTACATATTCCTCACACTGTTACACAGCCAGCAAAGTCACTGAGTGTATCTTTGTATTTGTGTGATGTATTTTTCCAGTAGATGGTGCTGTTCAGTTAAATTATGGTCAAGTAAATGGCTGTTCTGGATGGTGATGGTCTACATACTTATTTTATTCACAGAATGCATAGAAATTAGCAAGTGGCAGTTAACATTATGGATTCAAAATAGTAATACATCTATTAGAAACAATATAAAATAACACTGGCAACAAAATATCAAATAAGAATTTGCATTTGGGGTCAAAGGTTATTTTTGAAGCGGGTTTGACTCATAAATACACTTTTTTGGCTGATGTGTAAAACATTTTTTTGCGTTGAGTGGTATAAAAATGTTAAAGTCCCCCTGTGGTGAAAATCCAGCTTTTAATGTTGTTTATATGTCTATGTGGTGTTTTTAATATGCTTTAAGACAAACCATGTGTAAGTTCATAAGTCGACAGCATTGCTGAGTATTTTCTGCTTAAAACTGCAGTGAACCAAAGACAGTCTCAAACACACGGTTTGAAATCGCTGGTGTTTCTGACGTCACAAACGACCTTGTAACCAATCAGATCAACGTGTGATCGTCAACCAGTGGATCTCTGAGCTGAGTGAGTGAGTGGAGGCGGGGCTCATCTGCATATTCATAGAACCGCGCATAATAAATGAGGCAAGGGTGTCGAGTTACATTCAATTTTTTTTTCAAGGAAAAAACTTTTAAATATGTCATTTTGGCGATCAAGGATGAGTTTTAAGGGATAAAATATTGACTGCAGGGGGACTTTAACTTGTAGTAGGCATTTTGTAAGACTGCGTACATCTCAGAAGTTTGAAAGGCTTCTTGATCAAAAAATAAGCACATGAGAATCAATTTGTCAGTGTTTGCTAAGGCTATGAGTTTCACAAAATCACCAAACATGGAACATAATCCAGAAATCATGCCAATAAAATCACTCGAGAAAAAGCAGCTTAACGAGTGTGAATTTTTCATTCAAATTTTGAACAATTCCTATGAAAATGTCATTTTTTTAATGAAAAAAGTTATGAAAATATGAAGCTCCATTCCTAAAATCTAAACCCATCCCTCAATGGACGAGAGCAGATCAATTATGAATGTATGAGGTTATACGATTTTTCAAAAAAATCAAAAAACAAACTGTTGTGTGACCGACTGTGTTTATCCCCTGTGATGAGTGTGAAAGACAACCACATTTTATCCAACAAAATGTATATCAGTAGAATAAACAGACAGTCATTGTCTTTGGACACTATAAGTTACCGTTAGTTATCGTTCTTGGTGTGAACATCTTTAAAGTTAAATCGATTTTTAAAACTTTATTGTTATATGGTGCTTGCTTTGAACTGGCCTTAAATCTGCACACACGTCAACCAAAAATCGCCAAAAAGTGAAATTATTTGGAAGACCCGCTCTTGTAGGATTATTAGTTATTGTTGTTAAGCGTGACTTTAGTTTTGAAAGCACGTACTGTATTTTGGGTTTGCGTGATGGATGTTTTTGAAAGTTTGTTTTCCTTCAGATCTGGGTTGTGTCTGGACGAGTGTGTGCGATGCAGGGCGATGTGAGGCTGGACGGGCGTCTGAAAGGCTCATCACTGTATGGGACAAGGACAGCTCTGATCTCCAGCCCGTCTCATTCATACAGGCATAAACACATAAACCCCACACTGCTCGGAGAACAATGACATCAAGCCAGTTATTTTAATACACCCCATTGTGTCTGACGTGCCAGGCTGAGCCTTGGTATCTATTTATTAGTTTTGATACATACATATTGTATTGTTCGCAGCATAAGTCGTGTTTTGTTCGTCCGGGGTGGTCTGGGATCAGCGCGGTCCAGCTGGGAGAAGTTCAACTGCGTCATTGTGGCTCTCAGAGGTTCACTGGAGATGGGATGCTAATCAGATGTGTCATTTGAAATGTACAGTTTTCATACAAGTATTGAGTCACTTAAACAATAGTTTCATTTTACTGAACTATTATTTATTCATAATAAACGTATTTTTGGCTTAAACTTAGCCATTGTTAGCTAAAAAAAAAAAAGAAATGCTGTGTATGTTTTTAACATACACAAACGCACTTAAGTCTCTTCAAGGTTAAATGAATGAGCAGCTAATTTATGATCTCCTGAGCTGATATACTACGCTGGTAATATTTTGATGCTTTGTTGCATTTAAATGTGCTGTCGCTTCAGACATGGACGTATATGTCCCTGAAAGTGAATAGCTGTG